AGGACCTAAATATTATTCTATTGAGTGCCATCAATGACGCTCATCAACGCTAAGTATTTAGATCTTTATCTGTTTTTAACATAATAGCAAGCCTAGAGTAAGGAGGTTGTTCCCATCGTAGGGGATCCTTCCTTAGATGCCCATGGCCCTTTAAAAATCTAGGACTTTACACTTGATAGGGTGTATTAGGATTTGAATTCCTGACTGTTTAGTAGACCTTGAATTAGTAATGATACTCTCATCTCGCTTTTTCGTAAAAAAACAAGTGGGAGTCGCCAATATGTTTTGGGAAAACTTATAAACCTCATTCATGCCTTTCTCCCATGTGGAGTTCATGGAATAATTAGCACAAATCGTAAGTTTACCCATGGCCAAATTGGTCTAAATAAACTAGAAATGAGTTCGGGAGCGAGGGTACTCAAATAACATTCCCTTTAAAGGAGAATCGCTATTTTAGCCCTTCCTTTTTCACCATTTCATTACCAAACAACATATGCAACGTGATACCTAAATACTAAGTTAGTTGATTTTATTTACAAGCATTAATCACGTAGGAATTACATTACAAAAGTCAGTATTCTTCGTTAATCAATATTTGTGAAAAGAACAAAATAAACAATATTCGTCTTGTCTTAAGTGATAAAACAACAATTAATTATCAAATTCTTGTCTAGATTAAACGAAAGAATGCTATGTGAATTAATTAATTAAATTTTTTTTAAAGTCATCAAATAACAATATTTATTCAATTAAAGTTATTTAAACGATAAAAGAAAAGTGATTTATCTAAGTGCTCAGGGAACTAACTGTTCTTCTCTGTATGCTTAGATCTCCGTCTTGGATGTTTATGGACCTTCTTTCTTCTTTGTACCTCCAAAGGCTTTAATGTATTAAATTAGTGTTGAAGATTAGTTGGAAAGAAAGAGGAAAAATTAGTATGATAGTAAGAGGGTTTGAGAGAGATTAGTGTTTTCAAAATTAGGGGTTTAGAATTCTGATTTTCTGTCCGCGCGTTTAGAGCTGAACGAAGACCCCTATTTATAGACGTAGGAATCAAGGTTTAGGGTTTTAGAGCCGCAGCGGCAGGTGGCGCGTGCAACTCTCTTAGTTTCACTGGGTGCCGCGTGCATTTTAATGAGTCGCGCGCGCCAGGCGCGCGCAACTTATTGAGTTGCTCTGGTTTGCGGTTTGCCTTATACAAAAACGCGTTTTTAAAACTTCCATAACTTTTTATTGCGGATTCGGATTAAGGCGTAGGATATATCATTGGAAAGATATGAATGTATAATTTCCAATGCCGTTATATTTAGGTTAAAACATCTTATAGATCAAAAGTTATAGCCGTTGGAGTGCAAGGGTGTCGGTTTTAGGGCCCTGTTTAGTGTTTTGATCATAACTTCTTTGTTATGTCTTTGAATGGGGTTATAATATACCGTTGGAAAGCTATTTAAAATGGATATCCATATTTATAGTCTTGCATGGGAATTTGATGGGTGATTTATATGTTTAGCTCGTTTTTCAACAATGTAGGTTCCATTGGATCCAATCATTGCATTTAACGCATTTAGGTCCATTATTAATCAAGTTTAAACATGTATGAACACGTTTTAGGCCTAATTAGTAATAAAAAAAGTCTCTAAGATAAATTGGTCTCAAATATTGGTTTTAACTTACTTTATAATGCATTTCATAGTCCATAAACACTTTAACTTTGATCTAGCATGAAGAACGGGTTTTTGTAACATCATCGCACTTCCTTTTCGGGACAAGAGGCCAAAAGTAGGTGTCTAAAGTTAGCCCCCACTTTGATCGAGTCTAGAATAGACGATGATCAAAGTAGTCAAGGAAATACATCTGAGGCTCATTCTGCGAAGTTCTCTAAGGGTAGAGAATCTTTTAGTAATGTTAAGGATGTCGAAACAATCCTTGATTTGCTAAGTGTTTGAAACAAGTAGCTATTAAGGCTAAAAAAAGTTTTTTCTAGTCTTAATGTCCTAAAGAATCTAGATTGATCATTTGCAATTGTAGAACTCTTTTACAAGTAAAGGTGTTCTGGGTGATGTCAAGTCATGAGAAGAGATCGGTTTGAAAAAGAGTAAAGGGGATGATTTCCTCTCAATCATGTAATCGTTGGTCTAAAGTCCCTCTATATGTCATTGAAACTTTAGCTTGATTTTAACAAGGTGTAAAAATGATAAAAGGGGTGTTTCGTCTTTCGCAATCAGAATAAAGTTCTCGACAATTTGCTTGCCAAAACGCAATACTCGGTGTCCATAAGATAGAAATACATGTCTCAGGACTGGAGACACATATCCAAATTTAGTGAGAAAGAAGAAAATCGGCAACTCTCTCAGTATTTTTGTCCATAAGATAAGTACACGTGTCTCAGGACTGGGGGCACGTGACTACATAGGTGCGACATCGTCTCGTCGCTCTTTATACAGGGGGTAGACGACACCCTAACTGTCCAGTAAGCTGGTATGCTCACTAACTATTGTATTTTCTACCAATCAAGAAGTGTTTATTCCTGAATGGTTCGGCGTGCCTGTCGACTCGTGAGCTAATGCCTAAAGTAAAGTAATTCTCTACCTTTTAGTTCCAAGAGGTAGATCTCGCAAAGCTGGCCGGGAAGAAGTGAAATAGTACGAAACACCTATGCCATATAATTTTACGTTGTATGATAACGCCTTGCATTTTTACGCTGCATGATGATGCCTTCCTTTTTGCTGTGGACATGAAAAAAGAAGAAAAGCTGGACATTTATAGAGTCAGTACAGTAAAATGACAAACCTTTCTATGAGAGCTTTTACGTAAAGCACCGCTACGGAATGTCTTAAGATACTCTTACGAAAAACGTCCAAAATGTATGCTTAGGGAAGGCATAAAGCACGGTGTGCATGCAGGATGATGCAAAAAACTATCAAAGAAGAAAAGAAACTACTGGATGAAAAGCAATTTTAAAGGATTTTTATAATTTACGCGTCATTACGTCTAACAACATACAAAACCGTGGGAAAAAATTGAAACGGATCGAAATCTGAGTATTGGTCTTTTGAGTGACCAGTGTCCACGCGCAACATAGTAAGTCGCGCTGGCCAAGCGCGCGCAAGAAACTAGGTTGCGCTGGGATGCCACGTGCAACTTGATGAGTTGCGCGCAGCATTTTAATTAGTAAAAGAGTTGGAAAAGCGCGATCTGCAGCTCACTTTCTTCTTCTCCTCTTTCTCCAATTTTGATCTCTTCCCATTTTTTTTGGTTGTCATTTAAAGCTAAGGAAAGTAAATCTTGCTCCTTTTTATTTTACCAGACTTAGATCTTGGTTAATAAAATGGAGAAATCGAATTAAGGATCCTAACTTGGAGTTAGGGTTTTCGATTCGACTTGTTTTCATGAATTTGTTTGTTTTTCCTTGTTTTAAGAAATATATTGCAACAAATTTCATGCGAAATCGTAAAGTATTGATTCTGTATGAGCATATCAAGCATATATGTGTTTGTTCATTCTAATTTTAAATTTGTGCTTGAACTTTATTTATTTTTTTGCTTACATAGACTATACTTGTTAATTTTAATGTAAATTTAAGTGTTTAGAACAATAATTATGAATTAAAATTATAAATGAAATTTTGAACTTTGATAATAGCATGAATTTGTTCTTGCGACTCATGTTTATTTTTCCCATGCGTAAGTTGCGAAATTGGTTTTATCAATGATGAAAATAACCGATGGTTATTATTATTCACTTATAAAACTGTGATTTCATGATTTGCACAAAACTAGTTACTTTAGGAAATTCTTGAAGAGATCATCGAACTGGTGTAGCTTGGTCATATTTCGGGTCCGTAAGCCCCCATTTTATATTTTCGAATGTTGTAGCCCCTAGTGTTGGGTGACTTCGATGATTTGCTTGTTGTTAATAATTAGACCCTTTCATGTTGCTTGAAATGGGTCTAAAAATCTTGTGTTTCTTCTTATTATGATAATAACTAGGGTCTTGGAAACGATTAAACTAGTGTGTTTAAATCGTTTTTGACCATTTATAGTTTTAACAAAGGAAAATTTGCTAAGTCTAGTAATATTGGTCATCCATTAGAACAAGTGAGAGGAAAAATGAAATGTTGTTCAAATTTTTCGTCTATTCTTTCTATTTTTGAATTATTTCTTTTGAGTTCAAATTTTGTCTCTGTTTTGAAGATCGAGAAAGTAGATGTTATCCTCCTTGCGAAATTCCAATTTGTGTAACAACGGAGAATAAGTTTAAATGAAGACTCCTTAAATTAGATTTTAGGAGTCTTTTGTTTACATTCTAACTCATGAAATTGTTTGTCTTGTGTTAATAAAGTGTCTTGATACAATTTTCATGATGAATGATTGAGTACTAAACTTTTGTATGAGCAAGTATTTTTTTTATGTATCATGATTTTGTTTCTTTGCTCTGTACTAATCATACTCTCTAACCTTTAGAGTAAATTGAAGTCTCAAAACAACAATTATGCCCTAAGATTAGTATTTGAATTTGAACCTGAAAATGGCTCGAATATGAAACTTGATTAATGGCCATGTTCAGTTAAAAACTTAGTTTTTAAAGGAACAAAATGATTATTAAATCATTGTTATGTATTTGAAAATTGTAAGGATCGAGATGTACGTAAACCATTTTTAACATACACTAGGTGAAAAAACAAAATTGGCACCGTCCAAAGGGCACCGGTTCTTAAGAACCGGAGGGGAAAAAAGGGGAAAACGGGCGGGATTTTGAGGGGAGAGTATTGCCACCGGTTAAAATTAAACCGATGGAAAAAACATTAAACCCACTAGTTTTGAACCGGTGGCCTTGTTAAATAAATTTAAAAAAAAACCGACCTTAGCTTCGTCCATTTGTCTCCCCTTTTATATCCCCTAACCCTAAAATAACTTAACCCTAAGCTTTAATCTCTCTTATGCGCCTCTCTCTTCTCTCTCTTCCTCTCCTCCTCTGCTCCTTCTCTCTCCTCTCTTCTCTGTCCTCTTTCTCCAACCACGAATGAAGCTCCCCTCTCTCTCCTCTTCTTTCCCCTCTCTTCTCTCTTTTGTCTCCTACCCACCACCACCGCCGCCACTAACCACCGTCGCCACCAAGTCCGAGGTTAGTGCATGTTATTGGGTTTAATTATTCGAGGTTAGGGTTTCTAGGTTAATTTATTTTCAAATTTTTGGGGTTTTTTCGAATTGATTATGGGTTAATTTATTGTGGGTTTTTTTTCGAATTTATTTTGGGGTTAATTGATTTTCGAATTGATTTTGGGGTTTTTTCGAATTAATTTTGGGGTTTTTTCGAATCGATTTTGGGTTTATTTAATCGATTTTTTTATTTTCAATTCGATTTTTCTGGCTTGTTTTTATTTTCAGTTTGATTTTCCTGGGTTTATTTAATCGATTGTTGGATTTTAATTCGATTTTTCTGGGTATAATTATCCGAATTTAATCAGTTTTGTATTTTAATTCGATTTTTCTCGTATTTTCTGAGTTTAATTTTGGGTTAATTAATCGATTTTTATTTTTCTGGGTACATCATGCATGTGTTTTATGGGTTTTTTTTTTATTTTGAGTTTTCTGGGTTATTCTTTTTTATTTTTTCGAGGATTTTATGTTGTTTTTCTAATTCTTTATAATTTTGAGTTTTCCACCTTTATTTATTTTTTTATTTTCAGTTCGTCGAATTCGGAGTCGGAGGAGAAAATTGATGGCCAATACGGCTTCTGCAATTCAGCTACCGAGCTCATGTTGTTCGGCTTCTCGTCGAATCCCTTTGTTTAGTTTTTTTTTGGCAAGTGTAAAATTCCTGATTATGAATTTCAGTTATATTTGGTGTTGTATGAGTTTTCTGCTAATTTTTAAGTGAAAAAAGATAAAAAAAAAAAAAGGGAATTATATTTTTTGGGGTATTTTAGGCACCGGTTAACCGGTGCCAATAATAAGTTTTCCTACCAGTTCAAACCGGTGGCTTTTAATCCGATTATTAGCACACCCCAAATTGGCACCGGTTCAAAACTGGTTGCATTGAGGGTTTTGAACCGGTGCCAATTTTGTTTTTTCTACTAGTGTTAGGCGATTCACGAAAGTAGCTCAAATGGCATGTATATCTCATTTTGTTTTTTTGTTTGTGTCAATATTAGAGCCCCCATGTGTCGGGTTATGCACATTCTTGCTATTTCACAAGTCTTGGATCCCCCAATTTAGGGTAGTTCTAATGACTTGCTATTGTTTAGGCCATTCATATGATACTGAGATGGACCTATGTATTTGTCCTATTCAGTTAAAGTCATGTTCAAGAAAGCAAGTTAGTTCTTTGCTTGTTTATAAACCAAAACAATTGTGTTGAAGGTTTAGTAATCTTACCTAATGTCCAAACGGTTGTAAAGATCATTGCGGTGATTTTATTCTCAAAGTTGATTTAAAACATCAAATATTTTTTTTGTTCTTATCAATCTTTGATTTTGGTCTTGTAGGTGGTTTGTTTACCATCCCTTAGCCAATATTCGCTGGAGAACTAAGCGAGAACAAGTTCGAGTCAAGAAGAAGTCGAATCTTAATTCATTCCTTTTGGAAATATTTATGTATATACATGTATTATCCAAACGGTTATTAAGAAATCAAAAATTTATTTATTTGAGAAAACAAAAATTATATTATCGAAACGGTTATTGAGAATCTGAAATTTTGAATAGTATTTTTATTAGAAACATGTTGTTTCGAACTAGAATTCAAAATTTGAAAAGGGGTCCAATAATTATATTATTTTCAAAACTGGACCCAAAATGGAAAGAAAAGTCCAGCTCGTAATTTAGTGTCACTTTTTCGTCCAAGATTTGTGAAGATAAGCTGTAATCTGCAACTTATCTCAACAAAGATATGAAAATGTGAGTAAACTTATATATGATTTTGTTTATGTTTTTCTGCTTGTCATATTTTTCTAATTGAAAGTGAAGTTCTTTCAATTAAATAAGCACCGTAGTTTGAAAATGAATTTTTATCAAACCTAGGTTTGGTGAAGTGTTATAATAATTTATAAAATCATTCGAATCACTTTATAAATATATGGTCTCATTTTAAAATGAAAGTAAAGGTGAGACCTGTATTTTTAATTTGAAGCCCCCAAGTGTAGACTTAGGTGGATTTTGGAATGCATGTATACATATGCTAGGGGATGTTTCTCATGTTTATTTAAAGCCCCAAGACTTGTTTTTTGTGGAATATTGCATATGTTTATCACAAATTGTTTGATCAAGTAACGTAATTAATTATCTTGGTCAACTAATAGTAAGTGGTATTCTTCCTTTTGTCATTTAAAGTTATTAAGATGGTTCGTAATAAGCTTTGCATGACATTGATCTCGCAGGAAAAATAGCGTGTTCAAATCTGTAAATAGAGAGAAGTGGGGATGTCCTGGCTTTTTAAAGCCCCAAATATGAGGAAAAGAGCGAAAAATTTAATCTATTTTTTGAGTATTTTAGTTGTTAAATGGGAGGGATCATCCCGACTTACCCCCTAAAAAAGAAATGAACAAAAAAGATGGATTTGTATAAAAAAGGGAGGGGATCCAATATTTCCTATAGAAGAATAAAGAAAGAGAATTAGACATGTTTTCAAAAAGCAAGGATTATTGACTAATATTTGAATCATCGTGATGACTTGATAGTGAGCTATACGTGTAATAGCGACATCGATCATTTTTTCATGTAACGATCATGTTTAATCAATGTCCTCTCTTAGAGAAGATGGATATATCCCACATAGGCGGACATATTAGTTGCTCATGACAAGTGAAAAGACCAATTCTCAAGAGTTGACGTCAAGGCTGTCGATATATCAAATCAATATATTGTATTAACTCTGTTTCTTTCTCGGCAATGTATATAGAACTTGAATTACCTTGGTAATAAATAGCCTTATTATTTAAAGAAAATAAGATGATTGTGTTTTTTTAAAAAAAGTGATAGTCCTCTCATTTTTCTTTGGAAAAATATATGGAAAACATCGAATTTAGTTTGATTCGATTGCTTTACTAACATGATGTTATCAAACCAATGACCATCAAATCATTCAAATCATTTGAATATTTTTTATATGATCTTGTAATCATAACTCAAAACTTCATGCATTTTATATATTGGCATGACTACTCAATAGTAGGTCCATATGTGCAAAGACCTAAGATTGGCCATATTTTCATGGAATGATGATTTTGGTACATGGTTAGGGTCTACCTCAAGGAGGGCCTTTCCAAGGTTGTAATGTGGCTAAGATTCGGGTTATGAAGAATGGACAGACTCAAGTATGCTCCTAAAATCCCTTACTTTTGGTGCTTCTCAAATTTAAACCATTATACTTTGTGTGATAAACTGATAACTCCTACATTAGGTTTCGTTTCCTTGTCATTTCTCTTTTTTTTTTCTTTCTCTCTCTTTTTTGTTTTTTTTTTCTTTTCTGCATTTGAGCTTTCCTTTTGGGTTTATACCAACTTTGTGTCCCCCTCTTATGTTTCGTTCCCCCTATTTCCTATTTGTATCTTTGCACCATTCCCATCCCAAGGCATTGAATAATGTAGGTTGAATAACTAAGGCTCAATTGACGAGGCTCAAAGGGGCTGCCAAAAAGATAGATTTTCTCTAAGGTTAAGAACATGGGATTATATATATTTGTAGAGTTTCAAGTTGCTTCCTATGTTGGTGAAATCATCATATCCTTTTTATGTGGGCCAAATATGGGCCTCTTTTCATTAAATACATCTTGTAAGCCAAATCTCATCGAGATTCTTAAAGTGTTGAGTATGTATGCCTTTTGATATTGTGTGTTTGTATGTATATGTTTTATTTAATTCAAGTCAATAACAATAAAGAGGTTAAAAAGAGAACAAGATTGACGTACTTGAAAATATATTTTTTATTTATTAATTAATGAGAGTACAAAATAAGTAGATTCGACAGCACGAATATCTTAGTCTATCATAAAAAATAAAAAATAAAAAACAAAACAAAGGAAAGAAACAAAACAAGACCTAGGGTGCTACATCTTGAATTGTTGACAATTTCTTGAGATTGCGTCTTCGAGCTTTGTCCGTTTCTGACGTGGGTGAAATCCTCTCTAAAAATCAAGTCCATCTATATGATTCATGGTTTAATTTATCAAGACCCTTTCAATTAATGTTCCCACAGTATAGACTTTTTGAAATGTGTCTAAACCAAGTTATTGTAAATGGCACTTGTATGGTGGGGACATATTGTCTATGAACTTTGGAACAAGATCATGATCCGGAGGTCTTTGTGAAATAAGAGCAACCTTTGATCGCCACCTGGAAAATAAGTCAATGAAGTCTTCTTCTTCCCCTTGCTTAAGAAATTCGAGATCGCGCAAGGTAATTGCGAGCTTGATGTTATCTCCATATTGGGTTAAAAACGCTTTTACAACGTCACTCCAAGTGGAAGTTCGTTTTGCATCGAGGTTATAAAACCATGAACTAGAAGTTGGGTCCAATGAAATAGAAAAAGTACATGCATATATGCTTGGCTCAACCCCATTCAATGTCATAGTTCCAATAAAGCTCATTAAGTGAGTCCTAGGATTGTCTATAGCCTTAAAGGTTGGCAAATCCGTAGTCAAGTCTTTTCTGGGAGAGTCTTGCCATTAGGTTGTGGTGCAAGCTCATAATTGAAATAATTATTCCCTGAGTTAACTTGAAGGACAAGTTTCTCCAAGGCCTCTGCTCTTTCGGCTCTTGCTTTTTCTTGCAGAATGTTTTCTTTTTCTTTTTTTGCTGTTATTTTAGCCTTTTTTGCTTTTTTATGAGCCTTCATTTGGGTTTCTTATTCTCGTAGGGCCTTTAGGTTTTGGAGTTCCTTTCTAAGTTTCTCCAATGCTGCTTTTGTCACCCATGATTGGACTAGTATGAGAATGTGGAAGATGATCTAGTAATGTGTATCATGAAAAATTGAGCGCGTTCACTTAAACCTTTTCTGCCAAGCATTCAAACAATGAACCAAAAAATTCACGAACAGTCATTAATGGAATACGAATTCACTCTAAGCAAGTTTGTTGATGAATTCACTCTAAGTAAGTTTGTTGATGAATTCACTCTAAGAAAGTTTGTTGATGAATAATATCAAAAAATTCACGAACAGTCATTAATGGAATGTCTGATTTGTGTTGACTTCAACAAGGTAATCATCTAAGGATTTTACTTTAAATGAATTGTTTTCAAAAAAGGTAGAAGAAAAAGACAAGAAAGTTGGATTGAAAATACTCATCAAATTTTAGGAATATTAATGAACCCGAACATACTCCTTAAAATGATCAAATATACTATGGTATTTGTTGATCACTTAGATTGCAATAGAGATCATATCATTTTTTTTTTAAAATTATGATTCTCATATTGCTCATCTTTATAGGATAATATTTTACTATTTGCTTTAAAAGAATGATGGCCTCCGAATGTAAAATCCAAGAAATAATAAAATCATTTTCTCGGTTTTATCATTCATTATCTTCTCTTTTTTTTTTTGAGAATTATAATAATTTTTTTGTATCATAATCTTTTTTTTTTTTTAAAAAACAATTTTTTTTTTCATTCTATTTCTCTCCCTCTCTCTCTCTCTCTCTCTCTTTTTTTTTTTTTTTTTTTTTTATGTGTGTGTGAGGAAACATCTCAAGTAAGGTTCTCGGGATTTTCTTTTTAAACCATAAAAGAGGTAAATAAATTATACTCTTAAATCAAGGTTGATCAATTACAACTAAAACATGATGAACACGATAATAGGCACGTTTAAGAATAAACGTATTGATAACGTCCTATTAAGGGAAGCGAACTTCTAATGACGAACCTCATAAGAAGTATCTTTCAAAAAAAAAAGAGAGAGAGAGAGAGAGAGAGAGGGAGAGAAATAGAACGAAAAAAAAAATTGTTCTTTTTATTACAAAAAAAAAAAAAAAAAAAGTATGATACAAAAAAAAATTATTATAATTCTCAAAAAAAAAAGAGAAGATAATGAATGATAAAACCGAGAAAATTATTTAATTATTTCTTGGATTTTACATTCGGAGGCCATCAATTTTATAAAGCAAATAGTAAAATATTATCCTGTAAAGATGAGCAATATGAGAATCATAATTAAAAAAAATGATGTGATCTCTATTGCAATCTAATTGATCAACAAATACCATAGTATAGGGAATATTTCAAGCATTATCCCTAGCTTGAACCCCACTGTGATCATACACTAAAGTATGGTGGCGTCCAAAGGGAAGGAAGATAGAGAGAAAAAGAGTCGCCAATAAGTTTTAGGAACTTGTAAACCTTTCACGAGGTGAAGGTTACACCCCTTAACAACCCAGGAGATCGTCAACTCCAATAAGTCTGGAACCATGACCGGTAGTTCGAGGATGAAGGTACAAATCCAACCTAAAAGAG